TGTCCTCTGAGACCATGTAGCCAACTTTCACACAGGCATGCCTGCCCCTGATGTCAAAAACAGACTTTTCCTCAAAAGTCTTTTCCTTTTGCATAATGTGTTATCTTCATAAAGTCACCTAAGGTAAAATCAGCCAGTTATTCTACATTCCTCCTTCTTCCACATTCCTCATATCGAATCAGTTTCCAGTGGGTCCTACTGGCTCACTTCAACATTTCTTTCCATTCCCATTGCTGGGACTTGGCTCAGCACAAGACTGATTTAAAAGCAAAATATTAAACATATTTTGTAATGGCTATAATACCTGTTTACTGTACTACCACACTTAAGTCCAGGATTTTCTGTGTATCCTTCTCAGAGTTTATCTGTGATCTATGGGGAAATAGAGGATAATAGTAAAGACACCTTGATTTAAAGTCATGTAGACTTGGTTTTAGATTCCAGCTCTATAATGTTCTAGCTAGATAACCATAGGTTGAGACTGATCTGTACAACATGAGAAAATGTGTTCCAAGTAAATTATTATAAATATTAAATGAGATAGTTGCAAAATGTTTACTTATCATGCCTGACCCCTGGTAAGCAAACAAAATAATGAAAGTGATTACTCCTTACAAATATGACAATATAATATTTGTAGCTTCTTTCTTCAACCTATCTTGAATATCTTCTAAGGGCAATATATACACTTGTCCATTTTCATGGCAATTCATTACATAGATACGCGATCACATATTTAACTAATTACTTCTACCCTTTTGGATTATTTCAAATTCTGTTCAGTATAAAGGGAATGGCGATGAATTTGAGCATAGCTATTTGCATGCTCATCTTATTCCCTTTGAAGGAATTTCTGAGTCTACAGAATACATAATTTTAAGCCTTTGTCAACTGTTCTCCAGAAGGACTCTACTAATTTACATACTCGCAAGAAAAACAAAATTAGCTAACATCCCCTACCTAATGGCCTATCTTACATTCCTCCAATCTTTCCTTTACTTGACATTATATCAACTGCTGTAAAATATAAATACAGTTATGTAACTCTTGGGGTACCAACTTCCAGCTTTTCCCTGCTAAATAAAAAAAGGCAGGCTTCCCCTGGAAGCCCGTTCCTGCCTTTCTTCTACTCATGCTCCTCTACACACCTTCCAAGTATCTTTCAGACATTCCTACTTAGATATCTGATAACTCAAAAAGCCCCAAATTAAAATTGTCAACTTCCCTATACAAGTGTCAATTCCATCCTAATTTCTCTGGTCAAAACTTTTGAAGCATCCTTAACTTCTTTTTCTTCCAACCCATATCATTTCCATCAAGAAATTACAAAGGCTCTAATTTCAAAAAAATTCCTGGAACTGATCATGTTTCCACCTCCAATGCTAGTACTCAGGTTTCTCCTACTTGGATGACATGAGACTCCTAACCGGTCTCTCCCCTGTTCTATCCTTGTTCTCAAAGTCTATTCTTCACACAACTAGGAATCATTTTTTAAAATAGTATATTTTCAGGCCTTTGCTCCAAGCCCTGTAATAACACTTTGCACCCAAGTTCAATTCCTAATAATAGCGTTAAAAAAATGCTGCATAATCTGGTCCCATTGATCCTCTGATATCATTTCATATGGACAGCCACTGCCCCCACCCCTGGCCCCGCCTTTGCTGATTACACTCCCAGTCACTAGCATTCCTTGGCTTGGTAGCTCTCAAATATCCCATGTAAGTTTCTGCTTTTAGACTTTTGTGTAGACAATTCCCTCTGCCTGGAATGCACTTTCTTAGATATATATACAGAGATCTTTAGCTCCACATCTTTAGCTATAAGGGACTTCCATTTCTGATTCCCCTTTCTCTGCTCTACTATTTTTATATTTTTGGAGTATTTATCACAGACTAAGATACTGTATAATTAGCTTATATTTATCTTTAAAGAATTTAAGTAGTACAGGGCCTCCCTGGTGATGCAAGGGGTTAAGCACAGCACTATAAAGCTATCCGCAGCCTCTGCAGCCAGCATGAGTTTGATCCCCAGCCTGCCAGGGAGCTACCCACATGGTGCAGCAGACCTCTCCTGTCTCGCCCACTGCTTCCCTCAGCAGTGTATTTCAGTCAGTCTGCCTATTCTGCTCCCCACTCTGTTTCTGGTGAATCCTCTCACCTACCTCCCACCTCTAGCCTGTACCCCAGTTATTGTATGCATAAATAAATAAATCTTTCCAAAAAAGAATTTAAGTAGTAGGAGAGAAGCAATCCTTATCTTTTTTGTCCAATAATGTATTTCAAGTCTCTAGAATATGTGCCTGGCATGTATTAAGTACACATCAAATGTTTAGGAAATAGATAAAACATCTCAGAAAGTTTCATGCTCTATAATTTTGTGCTGCATATTCATATGACTTTCGGAAGGAGTCCACAAACGTAAACTAAACTAGACAGAGTAGAGGGTTGACTTATAGCAAAGTGCATGCCCAGGTTTCATCCAAGGGAAACAGCTGCTACTCGGATCCAGTCAGTTGTTACCCTGCAGGAAAAGAGGTAACAGGCAAATCCCTACATCCAATTTGTCAAGAGGGAAGTCCAGATTTTTATCTTAAATCCTTTAGTTTTAAATTTTTAAATTCTGGAAACTGATGGAAGCCTAGGTAGAAAACTCTGATTACTTAAAAACTCACCACATGCCCACAGTATTTCATGTTATCTTTAAGAGCTATTGTTTGTGATGGTTTTCTGTGCATATCTACTATCCCTAAAAAACATCATAGCAACTTAGAAAAAATTCTGGCCATTGATTAAAATTTTCAACCAAAATGACAGGCCAAGTGAACCTCCATTGCGGGCCATGATCACCCATGCTCCTCCACTCTGCCAGGAAGCTTCCTCTGCCTGCCAGATGTATCTTCTCATCTGCTGCCTGAGGAACATGTCTGTGCCATCCCATATCTTAGCTCTGCTCTCCAGTGTAGCCTCTCTGATGCCCAATGCCTACTTTGTAGCCCTGGTTCCCTGGGTCAGGCTTCTATCCCCGACCTCCAGCACCTCTAAGCTTAGTCCTCTGCAAACTTCTCCAAGCTCCTTAGGCTGAGCACTGGGCTCCATTTCCTTGGAAAAACTAACAAGGAGAGGGGGCTTGGCACCCAGCAGGTTATTGTTAAATAATTTGCTTAACTGATTGTTAAATGAATCACTCACTTTCTCAGAAGACAAAACCAAAACTAAGAGAGATTAAGTGACAACTAATACATGATAAGATTGAGATTTAAATACAGGTTTTGGGCCTTCCTGGTGGTGCAAGGGGTTAAGACACAACCTATGAAGCTAACCGCAGCCACTGCAGCAAGAGTTTGATCCCCGGCCAGGGAGCAACCCACATGGTGCAGGAGACCTCTCCTGACTCACCCACTGCTCCCTTCAGCAGTGTATTTCAGTCAGTCTGCCTGTTCTGTTCCCCACTCTGTCTTTGGTGAATCCTCTCACCCCCTATACCTCTGGCCTGTAACCCTGTTCTTGTATGTATAAATAAATCTTTAAAAATAAATAAATAAATACAGGTTTCAATCTCAAACCTTCAAGTGACAATACAGCTTCGCATTAGTGTAGGGATAGTTCTTGGACCAGCCCATGCCTAATTAATCCAAAGTACAAACGACTTAAATTCAAGCTAATTCTGCTTTTTCTGTAAATGACAAACTTATTTAAATGCTCCATCTCTAAAATAGTCCATTTTTAATTTTGTTTAAGGATTTATTATTAAAAGGGTACAGTGCAAATTTTGTTTCCTTAGATACATTCTGTGCCTCAGAGCATCACTTTCAAACTGCCTTAGGTAAGACTATGAAATTAATATGAATAAACAGATACACAAAAAGAGATATGCACACATAGGCGATGGTTTTAGAGGTAAAAGAACACAAGTTAAACAAATATAATATCTCAGAAATCTTTTCTAACCTATGGTATCAAGTCATTTCTAAAAATTAAACACAATTTACAATATCCTTCATTATTTTCTTTTTTAAAGACACTCAAAGATTAACCAAAATATCTAATTACAAGAAAATTTTACTTTGTAAGAGAACTATAAATAAATATAGGAGAATTTTTTTAATATATTCCCTGGATCCCTAAGTAGGCCAAAGCAGAGAAATCAGACAAAGGCTGATAATTGCATTTCCACATTATTCCACAAGATGTCAGCATGTAACTGAGTAACCTCCATGGAGGTTATACTGATTGCGGGGGAGGTTTGTCTTCACGGTAAATAGAACAATGGAAACCTTTTCATTTAATAATCTTAGGGTAGAGCTCTGGGATCTCACTTCATAATTGTGTTTTCATGTAATTATTTTATTTGTTTAATTATTTTCATGTTATTATTTTAAACCCAGTTCTTAATATATTCTTATATCACTTCGCAAATGTTTATATTTAGATATTTTTGAAACATTTAAATTTTCATCATTGCAATGTAACTCTCTCCAAATTCTTCATATAATCTAATTAAAAATCTTTAAGTATTCACTAAGGTCCAGGAAGGAGATTCAATAGAATACAAACATTGACCTAGTTGTCTATATGGGTGAGCTTTTTCCCCATTTCACAGATGAGAAAATTGAACAAAAAAAGGATTGGTGGTTCACACAAGGCACTCTACTCACATTACAAATTCAGTGGGCAAGTGGAGTCTCCATGGAGTCCTTTGTATGTCTGTGTTTGGGTGTGTGTGCGCGTGTCAGAGAGAGAACATTCCAGTCTTCTTTTCTTCCTTTGTTGCCCATTAACAGCACTCATGGTAAGTCACCCATACCTGAACAACTGTCAATAAGGATCCCCAATAGTAGTAGGAAGTATAGTTATCATCTCTGAAGCCTTTTACATATAGGTAGTACCATGGCCTACTAGATATAAAGTCACAGCAAAAACATATATAACTCTTTGTTGTGTGTGTGATATTCAAAACAATACTAAAATCTGCATAAAAACATATCTTCAAGTTTTTCTTACATCATTTGCAATCTTATCTTGCTTTTCATATTTTTCGCGGTCATAGGCCATTTTCTTCAGCAATTTCTTCATGGGCCTTCTATCTTTTTTCTGATTTTTTATCCTCACTTGATTGACAATGAACTTGGGGATCTATGGAGAAATAAAATTAAGTTTGCAGAGGCAAAATAAGTGGGCACCATTTTAAACTATCGAAATAATAATTTTTATTTTACATTTAGAAAGAAATAAAGGCTTGTCTATTTGATGACTATGTCATTTTACATGCACTGCTCGTTAAATCTGGGGGGGGAGGGAAATGCAGGGTTTTTTTCATCCATACACCACAAGTACAGAGTATCCACATGATGTGATTTAATATGCAGTGTAGATACAGTTCCAAACAGGCTTGGTGAAATTTAAGGACACAGTCATTAGATGCCTTCCATGCCTCCTCACCTGTAACAGGACAGGAGTCTCCAAAAGGCAATGGCATTAGACACAGTCCTATAGTGGCCACTGAGCTACAAACAGCTTAGCTCTAATCACCTACATTCCCATTCTAGTGGCCAGCTGGCCTCTACTGTCAAATGAGAAAGAAAGCCTCCTCCTCAATAAACAAGAGCTCACAGACATCTAGCAAAATCCTGGAAAATTTGAACCCAAAGACTACATTAGCAAAATTTGAGATTTTTTTAACTTTTATTAAGAGATCTTTTTATTTATTTAAATTTTCTTACATTATTGTATATTTTCGTACAATAGATGATTTCTCCACTCATATGCAGTTACCATTAACTTGAAATTTTTTTAAAAAATTACCGAACATTTCATGAAATAATGCTGGCATTTTAAAAATTGGGATTCAATAAAATGAAATTTTTGAAATTTCATTTTTGAAATTTTTGAAATCACCTATTACCAGCTACCTGTTTATAAAGAATATGATGCTGGATTAAGAGGATTTCAGAATCTAGACGTCATTATTCATTAACAGAGCTGTAGGGTACATGGTTTGGTAAATGGTTTTCAGGTTTTTCTGCCCTCCCACCATTAGGATTGCCCTGCCTGATGGGGCACCTGCAGTTGCTACATTGTTACAAACTATCTTGATTATTTCTGTGGGCCATGGGAGGGGTAATTTGAGATAGTCACCATACTCACTGATAGAAGCAGAAGCAGGAGAGAGAGGCAGGAGAGAGAAGGGGAGAAAGAAAGCCAGAAGAGAGAGACAGAGAGAAGTACAGAGTGAAGACTTGCCAGGTGCTTGGAGGCCTACTGGCCTCCTGGCACCCCTGGCACCCTTGCCTGCCGTATACCTGTTTGCCACACTGCATGTAAAGCTCAATGAAAGCCTAAGAAAGCCACCGAGGGCTCCAGGACTCCTCCTTTACCCATCTGCAGAATCACAGACATCCTGCTCAGTGCCATCCTGCCCCTACTAGAGCTTAAATATATATACTTACTGTCCACAGATCCTTCTGATACTTAATCAATAAGAACATGGTAGACGCTCTCCCGGCTGCCATTACAAGTTCTTGCTGTTCATTGCCCTTTGGGCACAATGTGTGAAACATGAAGAGATTTGGAGCCATGATGACTGCTACATTCATGGCGGTCATCTTATTTTTCTCTCTCTTGTCTATTACTCTTTGAAGAAATTCAAGCAGGGCCTGAAATAGAAATGACTCTTTGAGATTTGTGTTGAACATGAAGATAAGAAATGAAAGCACTGAACATACAGGGATTTTATTTATAAGTAGCACATAACCACAATCCGGAAGAGACATCTGATAGACCACTTGGTCAAAGTGTCCCCACTTGGTTAATGAAACACTTGGCAGCGTTTAGTTTCTATTAGGAACTATGGTGATGGGGCTAAAGCAGAGAAGACACACAGCAAAAGAGGTGGTAGGGACAGAAATGGAGACATGTCAGACCTCTAGCCCACTGAAGTCACTGAGCACTAAATTTAAAATCTTATATAAATATTCACTTGCTTCAGGAAGTGCAGTGCCTTTATCTCTAAGAATTTTTTTTTTTTTAAGATTGCTTTAAAAAGACTCATTCAATCCAAGTTTCATTTGTATTTAAGGGACTCAAAAGTTAGTTGACAGGAAATCTAAAATGAATGGGAATAGTGATAGAAGAGGGAGAGCAGTGACACACCAACAGAAGAGAATGCTTTTAAAAATTGAATGAATGAGTGATGAATGAAAAGAAACTTTTCACTAGAATAGGACTAGATAGTGCTTAGTTTGACTACTTCACATCTACTTGTTGATTTTTGGTCTAGAACAATAATAACTGCACAAATATTCAATATTCACTATGGGTGAGACATTGTTTTAAGCACATCATGGAGAACATCTGGTTTAATCTTTACTCAATTATCACAATTATTGCCATTTTGCAGAAAAGAAAACAATGTTTTAGCAAATATAAATTTCTTAGCATAGGTCATGTAATTAGTGTATGTTAGAGAGGAATTTAATTACAGGTCTAATTTGGCTTTTGTTTCTGAAATCTTAACTACTAAAGAGTCACATTTTCAGGTTTAGTTTAAAAAAGGGGAGGGGTAAAAAAAGAAAACAAAAACATAAAACAAAGCTGTGTTAATCTCTCAGAGAATTTAAAAACAGGTGGGGGTGGGTAGTGAGGTAAGGGAGGTGGAAACAGGGTGGATTCCCGTAGGCACTAACAGGGTGATCATGGATCAAGTTTGGCTGCTTTATAGACCTCAAAAAATTGAAACACACTAAAGGCTTTAGTATCTCGTAACCAGATTTATGCATCTAATTTCTGGTACAGTGCTCATAGAATTAAATTATAATCTATATACAATTTCATAAAAAACAATACATTCTCAAATGAGGATGAAAGATTACTTAGTGAATTTTGGAAACAAATATTTAATTTGTTCTAGACACCCAAATAATAATTTTGGGACCAGTATATCCCTTCTTTACAAGCATAAATTACAGCCATTAGGTAATCAACCACTTTAACTGTGGTGTGAATATGCAACAAGTTATTTAAAATATTACTCCAGAATACTAGAGTGTGTGTATATATGTGTAGATGTGTAACTAATAAAATAGTTTTGATTTTTGCATATAAGGTAACTGGAAGAACACTTTTATAAATAAGGTGGGAAATTCTTTGGGGTAAAAAACTGGAAAATACAAGTAAGTAAAGAAAATCAAGTAATATTATTTATTTAATCTTGCATAGCTTAATTAGCCAGTTTTAATGAAAATTTCAGACAAGTATTAACATCCATTCCATAGGCATGAGAGAATGATCACTCACCTAAGTTACAGATCAAAGAGTCTGAATGAGGAACAGGGAAAATTCCTAAGATTTACCAACTGGTAATTTTGTTTTCCTCACATGAAATTTCTTGACATGAACTTTCATTTTAAATAGAAAGAAATATAGTGGGTAAAAGGGCAAAGTTTCTAACCTTATCTGTATAAAAAAATCTCTAAGGCAACAGCAAAACTTAAGGTAAATATTCTTTCTAAGTTATATTTTTAAAGTTTTCTGTTTTTCTTTATAAAAGTTTATAATTAAATCTTTTATAAATACTTTATTAAATGCTCCCCATTAAAGCAAATGAATTTGTGTGGAATACAATGATTATTATAAAAGCTTCACCATTTTTAAATCACTTTGATATAATGACATAAATCAGAAACTCCATGTAAGCCATTAGAAAAATAGAACAATTTGTTTGAGTTGGTCCATCTCTTGGCTAACCCAACATTATATAATCATCAGAACTTTACTTAAAATTCTACTGCTTGACAATACAAATAATGGTGACATTAGGCAAGAGTGGGTTATATTTGATGATGTTGGGGGTTTTCTTAAACATTCATTTTTTCCTTTACTAATATAAATGTATTTTAAAAATTAGAAAATACAGAAAAATAGAAAGATCCAAAAAGAGTCTACATTTCTATTTACAAATGAACCTCAATAATCTGTTTTGGTAGAAGAAAATCATAGTGAAAATTAAAAACCAAAACACCCTATAATACTAGCAACATGACTAACCAGACAAATAAAGAGTTAAAGACCTACTCTTACCATCTGCCCTTAAATATCGGTCTTTTCTTCACAGACTATTACTACCATTTCCATGATAAACATTGTATTGTTTTGCCACAAATAATGAAAATTCTCTCTGCACAGTTCTAAGGGATATTTAATGTAAATGAATCCAGCTGACCTTTAGTGTATCTCTGTTTGCATCGGGTAGGAGGATGACAAGAAGGTTCAAAGCCTGTAGCTGTTGTCTCCTGGTTGGAAGATCTGCAGACAGATTAAAGATATCTGAACTCTTTTCTTTACTGAACATTTTTCCTTACTTTCCTTTTTCAGTTTTTTAAGAATAAAAGTTATTTGGCATAAACATCATTGTGAAATGTAAGACACAATGACTGAGCAGTGAGCCTTGCTGAGACTGTGTTTGGGGAAGAGAAGGAGCTGCAGCTGTTGCTTTAGAACTTCCTCTCTCAGAATGCTCACTTCCAACTGTGATCATATGATGAGTGGACTTATGTTTGCAGACACACAACCGTGCTTTGGAAATACTTTTAACTTCTGCATTACAATTATCCCCTAATGAAAGCACGTAGTGGCCCTTCCATGATATGGTCAGTGTACATCTGTAACGATTAAGTTTGTTTCTCGTAAATGGTGAATGAACAAACTGCAGGGTCAGAGTCCATATATTCCAACAGAAATAAGTCAAATAGAGCCTGGAACATAATAGGTACTCAATGAACATTTGTGGAATGAATCAGATAACCAGTGAGCATTAAAGAGTCAGAGAGGTGTGTTATTATCATTGGGACTCATCATTTTCAGTAGCCCCATTTAAGCAATGCTTCTAGATATTTGGAGTCATACTGGCATTTGTATTTCAGGGACAAAGTTTGGCCCTTTTATCCCTATCCAAAGAATATATGAAAAACAGCAAAACTTAACCATTAATAAAGTTTTAAACAGATGATTTCAGACATGTTTTTCATATAAATTCTGAAATGAGCTCATAATACAGGATGAGACTTGGGAATCAACTTAATAACATATTTTTAAGATTGTCTGGGGAAATCCTAGTTAACTCTGTAGCTTATCATAGTCATTAGTAGTACTCCCAGGCCCCCTTTTATTCTCAAATGTCCTAATTTGGATAAAGACATGGTCAGTGGAATGTAGTGACAGCATTTTTCCCTTTTGATGACCTCTAGGAGCAAAAGGGATAACAAGGCTTGTACATCAACCTCGTGAGATTTCTGTGCTCACTGAAAAGGAATCAAGAATTATTCAAGAAACTAATTTGGAGCTTGCCCAAGACCATGAAATGGGAAGACATAAGCAGTTTGCTGCCCTCTACCAGTGAGGCAGCCAAATGCTTCCTTCCATGCTTCTGCATGACAATTTTGGAATTTAACTTTTCAGGAAATAATCACAGACTCTGTCGCATATCCATGCGCTTTTATGATAATTGTTAATCCACAGTTTCTCTAGTAAGTGTTGCTTTTAACACTTGGCAAGAAAAATGTATCAGAAATCTTATGTGACTCATTCTATTGTAAAAGAAATGTGAAGTTTCCAGGCTTTAACAGTAAAAGATATTGTATTACTTAAAGGGAATGCAATTAAACTATACCCAAAGAGAACAATCTGTTATCTATTTACTCAAAGATGTATATTTATGAAGGCAAAGAAAGTGGGGCATTTGAACACCCATTAACATCAATGAGTCAGTATGTCTATCCAAATATAGCTGGCTATTGTCTCTGTGATGCAAAATATCATTAAAACAATTAATATGGATGGCACCAGTACAAGGAAGGACTGCTTCAAAGAGGGATGGCACTTACTCTGGACAGCCTGAAAGGCTTTGAGGTATTCTACACTGAGCAGCGGCTGAGGAAGCTCCCGGATGAAGAGCTTCAGCAGGCTGGCTGTATCATGCTGCTGGACACATTCCCAATTAAAAGTCCCTAAATAAAACTTTGTTTCCAGTTCATGGCATAGATTCTGAAAGATAGAATTAAAAAAAACACATACACATGACCAGTAAGTGCATATTCTTCCTACTGAGAGTGAGACAATTCCCAATTTACAAGAGATTCTATCTCTAGCAAGGACATCTTCACGCACTAAAAGCCAATACTTCTCTGTTACTAAGAAAAATACTACTCCTCCCACCCAAAGTGTACTTTACCAATAAAGATTGAAGTCAAAAAAATTTTAAATACTTTGTGCATTTTTCTGGACATTCAATAAACCTTAAGAAGTTTAAGTTTAATTAAAAGATTAGTTAAAATGAGCTTTCCATCAGGGACCTTACTTAGATACTATAATTTTTCATTCAATTTCAAAAAATCATTAAAAAACAAAGCTGTGCTTTAAATTATTTAGAAGTATATTACATAGCAAAATATATAATCAATTTCTGGCCTGAAGCAGAAGCTATCTCTGATTAGTCACCTCGGGAAACGGATACCCAAATTCTATAGCAAATAAAGCATGAAAATACATCAATACACCTGTCTTTAAGGCATAGGCTGTAAGTGACATGGCCATTTAATGCCAGAAAACAGTTTGAGCCCATTGTAGAATTAGAAATACCTAGAGCTCATTTACCTCAAGAACACCACAAAATTTGTCAGGAAAATTATTATTAATAAGTCAATTTTGTTTCATAATTACTATTTTTCTGCATGCTTTTTCACTGTGGCATAAATCCTATTATGTTAGAAATCTTTCCAAGTTTCTGTCACTTCTTCCTACTATTTGGAATTATTCTCCCAAAGAAGGTCCTTTGTTCTTCATGTGACACAAATTATTACACTTTCTCTTCCCAACACAACCCCATCCTCTACCTCAATTATCTTTGTAAATTGGTGAAATACATAAATGAGAACCTAGAAATGAACAGTGGGTGAGAGGGACAGTGAGGGAGGGAGGGGGAGATAGGAGGAAGGACAGGAGGACAAAAAAACTTGGTGACTAGGGGTGAGGAAAGGTAATCAATAACTTAAGCTATTATCTTTAGATTATTTAAAATGACCAGCTGCATAATTTGGTATGTGACAAGAGGCTGGTTTGAGGAGTTGAACCAGCTGAATTCACTTAATTGACCTTAGAAATTGCATTTAGTTGGACTTGTCCTGCCAGCCTTCTCTTCACAATGTCAAATACACACAGCACTGACTTGTCTGTGTTCAAGTGAAAGTGTCCATGACTCCTGTGAGTTGGCCTCCACAGCCTCCAGCGAGAGTTCTCAACAGGGAACTGAGAACCGGGATTCTTGCTGATCTGGATAATATGAAGTCACGTTATCTATTTCTGAGGGATTGTTTCTCTGTAAGAAAGTGTACACAGGGCCTCCCCGGTGGCGCAGTGGTTGAGCGCTGGGTTGCGAAGCTGCCGGCGACCTCTGCGGCGACAGTTCGATCCCCGGCTGCTCCCCGGCCACCGGAGGAGGGTCCCACATGGCGCGCAGACCTCTCCTGCCGCCCGCTGCTCCCCTCAGCAGTGTGCTTCGGTCCTTCTGCCTGCTCTGCTCCCCGCTCTGGCTCTGGTGAATTCTCTCGCCCTCCCGCGCTTCTGACTGTACCCAGTGCTTGTATAAACAAAACAAACAAACAAATAAATAAATAAAACATGCCTCTATTAAAAAAAAAATTAAAAAAAAAAAAAAAAGAAAGTGTACACAGAACTTCTCTCAAAATCATACCCCATGTCCGTGATAGACTGGTGGTGAAAGTGCCATGGATTCTCACAAACGAAGTGAGACAATGGCAACTTATCAAACTTACAAGAGCTTCAGAGTGGTTTGGGGACCTCTGTGCACCAGATACCAAGCCCAGGGGACATAGGTTGAATGGAATGTGTGAGTGGGTGTATCAAATTACTGGAATCTGATTAAACTAAGTATTGAAGAACAAAGTAGGCTGAAACTAGCATCCTACATTGAGGGATCTTATCAAAATAAACAGGAGGTGCAAACTGGAATGTAGGCCTTGGAATTATCCTGGCAGCACCACTGCCATAATCACAGGCAAGAGAGGCTGCCCCTATCAATTGTCGTTTCTTCTTGATTCAGCTCTAAAGATTTCATAAAGAATAGGTCTTCAGGAAGTAGAGCCTCTCCCTTCCTTCTGCCCTATTTTCTCTTAGACATGCACATTCAGAAAGACAATATATTGGATATAGGCAGTGACATACTATCTCAGCTATAGGTAAAACCAGATTTGTAAGAGACAACTAAAAAGTATAATGACTGCTAACCAAAACCCTTCCCTAGATATATGTTCCAGATAGAGTGAAAATTTCAGGTAGGAGGCCCCAGGAAAATGCAGGTCCTCTGGGAGGCATGCGCATTAGGCATCACATCTAAGGTTATTTTCCCCTTATTACACATCAGTGGAATGTGTTATTTCTCAGAGCAGGAGTTGGGCAAGAGAGAGAAGGAAGGAGGACATGCAGCACCCTGGGAGAGTGCAAAGGAAAAGCTGTGTTGAAAGAAAAGAAAGGGAGGGGGTCTCCAACTGTGAAATCAGGGAGTCATCCTGCCTCCTTCACTAGCCCCATTCAGTCACCCTGAATCCAGCATGATAAGGAGCTGAGAGTGATTGAGACAGAGTCTCATCTTGCCAGCTCATTTAGACTAATAATGTTTGGGGACTAATGTCATGTCTCACATTCTGCTCACCTGGTGGAGTTTATCATTCTTCCTCTTCTTTTTTTTTTTAACTCAATTGTTATTGTGCTAATTAAGTCTATGCCCAGGCCCCATTAATTAATATTTTGCTCTCTTCTCTTTAAATGATGGAAACTCTTGCCTTTTGTTTACTTTTGTCTCTATTTTGTGCTTTCACAGTAGAGAAATTACATTTTTGTTCCTTTGCCTTTTGATTTATCATAGTGCTATTACAGGTTAAATGGTAATTTTGAAAAAAAATCAAAATTTACAAAGATCAGAAGATACTGTAAAGTATATATGAAAACCAAATGTTAAAAGGTTTTCTTTTATTAATATTTTATGTATTTTATGATCAATGGGAAGAGAAAGGGGAAGACAAGTTAGTATTTAAAATACAAAAAATATAATTAAACAATAAAGTTTTACATTAATAGAACCAGAGGTCACCTTGATCCTAGCGGTAGCACCAGGTTTTCTTAAGAGGCCTTCAGTTTCCAAACTTCCCTCTTCAATTTGAGAAATCAGCTGTGTATAAACAAAAGAACATTCTGATTTTGGTATTTATAACAGGTACGATTCCAAATTTCACATCTGTTTCACATATAAATAAATGAAAACTGATTACAATGACATGTAAACTGGATTTTGCCAAGTTTTGAATGCTATTGCACTACCACGATCCTTTAAACCAATAAGCTCCAAAACTTCAGTTACAATTTAGAAAAAGTTGGGTTTTATTTTCCTTTATGACCAAAGTCTATAATTTCACACAACAGCTGTGTTATTCCAAACAGAGAATGAAGATGTTCATTGTTTAAAAGCAGCTAAGACCATCCATTTCTCCTATTTTTCCAAAATTGTACATTCTGCAATCAAAGAGATCTCATGAAATTCCAGTATTTGCACTTTTACATTTCATTTTTAGTTCAAAGAAAGAATTATTTATGACATGAAGAAAAAACTGTTTGCAAATATTAATTTTTAAGTTTTTAAGCTTGTGGTGGTAAACCTAAATAAAAAGGAGTGCTTATATAAGACTTCTAAATCCCAATAAATACATACAGATCTATCTCCAGAATCCCACTAAAAGAACAAAGATTTTTTTTTTTTTTTAAATAAGGAAGAAGCCCATGACTGTTAACATTACAATGACTACTGTTGGAGTTAAAAAGAAGATAAAAGATTGGATAGTTTCTTGGAAGTGATCTTCCAACTGGAATGTGCATTCCCTGTGCACAAAGGTTTCATAGGAGTATACTGCTATTTTAAGAGAATTTCCTTGTCCTCAGTTTAAATATAAGGCATTTCTAAAATCAATATAGGATTTTCTTCCTTCCACTCCTCATCCTTTCAGAATAACCTTCTCCTACTTATAAAAGAAAACCCTATTCTTTACTCATTCCCAATCTTACTAAACTTTCTGCATACCCTAAGGCATAAAATCCTCTAGAGAGCCAAGAGAATGGAATTTCAATCATGGAAACCCTTACTGATCAATCAAGATCCCACAAACAACATAAAGCTTACTGTTTTCCCCTTGTTTATAAAGTGTCTGTTGGAAAAAAGCATCACATAAAGGTCTTTTGACCTTTGCCTAGATGTTCTGAAATATTCTGTATGTAACATGCAGACATGAGAAGAGATGGCAATTTTTCTTTAATGTTCTCACCTCATCTATCTTAGATTACAATCAAAGAATACACTGATCTTGAAGGAGACAGGTAAGAATAAAGCCTACAGTAGTATCAAAATTCTCCAAGGATTTATTGTTAGCTGAAAAGAGAAGCATCTTTAACCATACAAAGCTGAAAATGACTTCTTAAAAATTCAACTGCAATTATTTTCCAAGAACATGTTTTTTTCCAGTTACACTGTAAAAAATCCTCAACCAAAAAGAAAAAAAAGTGCATGAACTATATTGATTAAATGGGCATTTATCAATAAAGGACTTAATACCAATTTATCAAATAATATGCAAAACATATTCAATGTATAAGCCATTTTATTTTTATTTTACCTTATGAAATTTTACCTTATGAAATATAAAATTATATGCTAGCTGCTAGAGCAAATTTGATTTTGGCAGGATTTGCCTTTTGCTTTTACTAAATATACAAGAAAAATTGATGATTTCTAAATAACTGAATGGAGTAATTATTAAATTTTTAATATTTGAATTATTATCTAATTAAGCTGAATGGGCACATTCAATGGAGTTATGTACATATACTATCTGAAGAATGCCATATGTTTTCTCAAATTTTTCATTTTGAGTAACATTTTTAGATACTACTTTATGTTGCATTATTAAAATAAAAATAATAAATATTTTACAGTTTTCCTTTCATATTTAAGACAAAATAGAAATTGGAAAATAACTTTGTATTGATCAACATATTTAATCATGTAGTTTATCATAAAAGTACATCCTAAAATTCATCAGTAAATTTCATAGAATACATATATTAATATATTAGCATACATACATAGCATAAATAACACTCATACAAAATGTATACTACTTGGTTATATGAATATACAAATGAATTCAAAGTGAAGTCAAACTTTTTTTGGATAAAAAATATTTTCTTTTTTTAATGAAAATGTCAAACTCGTAAGTTTGACAGTTAGAATAGGAATTTTCCATAGATAAAATATGAAATCATTTATATTTTCCTAACCCTTTCTCAGTATATGGTGCGAACAATGTGCCTCTGAGGCATACAAGAAAAACAAATACAATTCACAGATATTAGATAAGCATTGTGAAAGTCCTTTGTAGGTATTTTTTTGATAATTGGGAAAGTATCACCACCTAATGATTAGAAATGCTTTTATAAATTCTTCCCTTTCTATACATTTGAGGGAATATCTAATTGAGTTGTCAGTTAAATCAAAACTATTTTTGATAGATTACTGTGATTTTTTGTTTCAGAGGGAATGCAAGAAGTATTTAACAGTAGACTTTTATATTCCCTTTTATTTTGTTTATGAACAAAAATATTACCCAATGACTTCAAAATGGGAGGCACTGACTCTAGAACACTGAATAGATCAGAAATAATGAACTAAATAAATTAGAAAACATAATACATTAGAAAACATTTCCAAGAGACAATGACAAGAAATCTGATGCTATCCTGGCCTATGCTATTACTATTAATACCTATGTATCTATCTACCTATCTGTCTTATTGATTCTGTTTCTCTAGAGAGCTCTAACACATATAGTGCATTGGACTTCTAACACATTTGGAAAGGATATAGTGGAAACACCTGCTTTGTACAGTCATGTGTATAGTAATTTACACCTCTCTTGACATTAATTGAATTTAATTACATGGCCTATATGGCTAGCATCTCTCTATTAATCAGAGACATTGTTGGTAACTATCAGAGATGGTTCAGAGATGGTTCTACAGGCAGTTCTTGCAAAGGTTGGTGAGTAGGAAAAACTGTATAAAACAAAGTTCATCAGAAGAAACATTAATGTACATACTTGTCCATATGGTGAATATGAGAAATAAAAGAATCAGTGGTTAGCAGGTATGATGAGTAAATCTTCGAACAGTAGAAGAATTGCTGCCAAGTGGGTTGAGTTTTAGTGTTGGATGAGGTTGTTGAGGAAATGAATTATGTTCCCATTGCTACTTTTGCTATCACCAAAACTTTGGGAAACTGTGATCTGCCTGGAGTATCTACAACTGATTTGACCTGCCTTTGTTACCATGCATTCCTGGTCTTTATCAAATGCAATCTGTGTGTCTGAACAATGATGACTTGGAGGTTAGATGGAAATTTTTATATTGCCATAGATAATCCCCTTATAAATAATTGAGTGTTGACTACACAAGTGACTTGATAGCTTAGCAATCATTTTCTAATTCTACTTTATGGTTTCTTTGCCTACTTTAGAAGTAGATACTGGCAAATTAAATTGGACATCCTCACTGTAAATAGGAAAGCTTGGGAAATACATACTGGCATGAAATATTCATGAGGATTCTATTCCCTAGAAATTTATAAGCAGTTCCCACTCCTATGTGTTATAGAATTGAAATCTCAATTATACAAAGCCAACTAATATAAGACAGGAAAATGATGCCAGGTAATCACAGTTACAGTAATAACAAAGAAAGCATCATGGTGAAATAAAAATTACGAGCCTTTGAAACAAATTTGTTTCCTAGATTGAAAATCATAGTACAAAATATAAGAGCATATCAATGGGAAAACTGTAATAGTATGAATGCAAAAAATAAAAACAAAAACAACCATTAGCTTAAGTACATTCTCTATGTTGACCCATTCAAGCTTACTTACTTTTTGGAATATCAAGGGTATTCGAGTTCCTGGAACTTTCTTTTGATCTTGTTCTAGTAATACTGTCAATGGAACACCAAAAAGGCCAGAATCTGCAAAAACAACAACAAAAAATAAAGTCTTGTCACATGAATCAAACCATATAATACATTAATCCAAAACTGTTAAGACATTAAGATGTCTGATATTATCATCCAATTATACAAGCATTTATTGAGCACCGACTGAGTCAATGACATTGTCTACCTGTTAGGCATGCACATCCCCAAAATTCTCACCCTCACTTATGAAGCAATCTAGTAAGGAAAGACAACTAAACAAATGATTGTAAATAATCATCAAAATAATTTGAAAAGCATAAACTGCTATATAAGGCAAACAAAATTCTGTGGAAGTACTCAAAATATGCAAATAGCTCACAAAATGTAATCAAATTAAAAGTTCTGACTAACAGCAAATGTCACTCATCTCTTGCTTAATTATACTTTCTACAACATAGCAAAATATGGACTTGCTTTTTGAGAAACTGTCCAATGTCATGGCCTTGTCATACAAATGGTTCTCTTTGCAAAAGACAGTAGAAATTTAGTAATTTTGAATTTAAATTTGTAGTTTTATATATTTGAGAATAATTCCAGAAGAAATGGCAGGTGAGAAACGATAATTTTCTAATTTCAAACCATATGCCTTAAGTCTCATATGAGCATAGCTTCTAACCAGAAACTCCCAACCGCCTCATCACTAAGTAAATAGTTAGCACAAATGTGTAACACACATTATCAGGGGAGACAAAAATCATTTGTGAACCTAGAAAAGGAGATTTCTTGTGATCTGAGGACAGACAACATTGTGACATCAATTGAGACATCATTCAATAGAGTAATAGTCTCCCAGTAAATAAGACTTGGTTTAAGAATTAAGATGCACTCTTGAAAAATGTCAAAGTAAAACTTATAATAAACATCTTGAATAAGATACAAAAAAAAAAAATAAAGATAGAAAAGCTATTCTACTAATGGTGATACTCTTAATCAGAATGGGTTAACATATTATCTCTGCCAGGATTAAAAATTAAAAACTTTCAAAGCTAGCTTAAGTCTCAAGCACTGTATCACAGCTGTTTACAGTATATATCTATTTCATATTTGGAGATGGCTTTGTGATGAACTTCTTAAAAAGCATCTGAAATCTTCACTATCCATAAAGAATGTATGGAAAACTAGAAGCACTGTTTAACTCATGAATTCACCATCCCAAGCCTTAAGCTAAAAACTAAGAGAGAACTGAACACAGAATGAGGTCTGCAGGGGCCCAGCATGGAAGACAGAACTTGAAGGGAAGGTACACTTCAGTCCTACAGAGAAATTGCCTCTAAAACTTAAATCAGATGAATACTAGGCTTTGCTAATGTTACCATAGCAACTCACTAATCCTCATTCTTGGTTTCTCTTTAACACATACCTTTAAGGTAAAAAAAAAAAAAAAAAGAGGACAGAGATTCCTAAATAGTAAAGCTTTATCAAAGAGAATTACCTGGATTTCCAGACCAAAATAACCTTGAAAAAACAAAAACTGAAGAGATGTCTATTTTCTATCATGTTATAAAAAACAGACCTGTTTATGAAATGGTTACAAGCTAATTATAAAAGAAAAACTACATAAACCTATGATGAATACAATTAGCAGTTTTGTGTGCCACAATGGAATTATTTTCTTAATAAAGAGTGTTTTTACAAAATAAAGTAGAATGTAAATGAATAAAGGGACAGGCTACAAATAACCTTATGTATTTCCCATCAAATGAATAAACAAAGGTAATCAATAGGATCAGCCATCTTAAAGTCATTTTTCAAGATCTGCTTTTAGAAATAAACATACAAACCAAATATATTTTTTCAATTACATGGATTTTTAAAAAGACAACATATGAATTAGGATACATTGATACAAAAATTTCATTATGGTAATGAAATATTGGATCATGCCTTTATTTTTCTTAGTCTAGAAGAGAGTACATTTTTATCAAGTTATAAATTTAAAAGTAATGTTTTAGTATCTGAACTTCAGATGTAATTAGGTGTTGATGTAGTTTGTAGGCATTCACTTTCCTGAAAATATGACTAAAAAGTCAAGATCATCCTTGCTACTATAGAAATAAATCTGTTTTTCAAGATTACCTTTTGTTTTGATTTTCGCAGCCTTTTGTTGTTTCAATTCAACACCCAAAATATCATAGAAGGCAGTCAGCTCAATTAGGGCTAATTGGCAAACAATCTTCATGTCCTGCGGAGCTAGATCACCAATCCTGGTGATGCCTGTTTTGTCATTTGGCAATCCTAAATTCTAAAATAAAAATCATTAATATAGTCAGAGTTTATATTTATAGCATCTACTTCCTTTTTTAAAATAAAAGATGAACGACTGTAACTATAGAAAGAAGCTATATTCAAAATAGTGACAATGCAAGTTTTAGCAGAATTTCCTCAATCAAAATGAAAAGCAATCTCCCAATGATGATCTCCAAACCTGTGGGGAGTTCAAAGGTCTGAAGACTGACAATGGAAACAGACCAGATAGCAAGAGTAATAAGACCAGTGACTAAAGGGACAAAAGACACTAAGCTCAACAGAGAAAAGGAACTGTAGTTAATTAACTTTCAAAAACCAAGGAAGATTAGAAGACAAACACAAACCATGACAGGAAAGGAGTGGAGACATGGAAGAAAGGAGAAGAATAGTAGTGAAGAGTGCCTATAATGTACCAGGTACCTGTCATAAAAATTCAAATAAGGTAGGTTAAGAGGACTGCATAATATTGGTTGGGTAGCAGAGGGAGAATAGGGGCATAGATTTTAGTCAGAAAGTTTATCAGTCATCTAGCTTCTAACCAAATGTTTGTGATCTGGCAGTTGCTTAACCTTTATTTATTTGTTTGTTTGTTTGTTTATTTATTTTCCTGTAAAACTGAGAGGAAGAGAAAGGGGAAGAGGGATAGGAGAGCGGGGAAAGCTAGATGGGGGAGGGTAAGTAGCATAAGACCACCTAATTTAGAAGACTATTGTGAGGTTACTCTGTTTATCAAAGTTTTAGCTCTGGGGTTTATCCTTGACTTCCTCATTTAGAGATCAAGTATGTTCAACTGATTCCCTTTTATTCCCTGTGCTTTGCTCCTTTTTGTTCCCTTTGTTTTGTTTCTTTTTCCAATTCTCAAAGCATAGTCCTTGGAACCATGACAGTGCTAATATCCTTTCAAGGAACCCCGGAGGTGAAAATTATCTACTCTCATTCTCTTGTGACTGTACAAAGGGGTTTTCTGGTGCAGTAAATGTACAAGTAGATATGCAAGTCCAACTAGCTTCTACTACAGTTGTTAAAATGTAAAATGATGCCACACTTATTAATGATTATCTAAAAATGATTATTTTTCATAAAAGTGTTATTCATGTTAACTTTAATATTTTTAAATGTACTAAAAAGCATTTAAAAGATAAACGATTCCTTAGTCTACAAATGCATATTTCATAATTCAGGAATACAGGTCAGTGATGAACTTCCATGGATGTCAATCAGAAGATATTCAATATTCCATAATGCTTTACACCAGTCTCCAATTCCTCAAAATATTTCATGATTTATAATTTCTGCAGAAAAATGCAAATGCCTTCTTTCTTTGTTCAGCCACACAAATTTATAGAACACGGCAAAGGATACAGCAATGTGAAATTGCAATGTTGGTCCAGATCACAAATCTGGGCTTTACCAAAGCACTGGAAATCCATGAAAGTTATTTTTCTCAATGTCACCCACATGACCTTCCTTGCTGACTAAGCAAAAGCTCTTCGAGGCTCTCAATGATTTTTAAGAGCCTTAAGGATTATGAGGCTGAAATGTTTGAAGAGTTGCTGTCCTAGAAAATTTATAAAACCTGCAACTTTTGATAATTGAGCAGCTAATTTGTTTCAGGAAAAGTCAACTTCAAGGGAATTGCCTACAGTTCTCTAGAACCTTCTTCTGCAGAACCTGCTATATTCTCAAGAGAATCCACTACTGGAAAAAGACAATGTTCTCAACTTTTTTCTGAGAACATTAAATAAAACAGCAATATACATCATTATACATGCAGCACAGTGAATTTCCAGCATGTAGTAATGATGTGGTGCAGAGGGGTTGAGAATGTGGTGTCAGATGGCTGGTGGCAAATCCTGTCTCCATTCATCGCTTATTAGCTATGTTATCATTGTTAAAATATATCTCCTCTACGCCTTAGTCACATCATTTAGAAAATGGGGAAACTGAGGCTCAGTAAAGAGACTTAAATATGGTCACAGGCAATGACAAGAGAAGGCAAACTCAGATCTTCTAAATTGCTCCACTTTCTGTTCTGCTCCACTTTCTAGGTCCACCAGAGCAGGTGAGGAGAAATCTCTGGTTTGGTTAAGGGTTGATATAGGAGTGTGAGCCTTTTAAGGATAGAAGTGATGTCTGTATCACTTTGTAACCCTACTGTATCAGTTCTCTGACACATAACAGGTTCCTGTTGCCTGAGTATTCAATGAATGAAAATGTATAGTGTTAAAAAGAAAAGCACAGAATGAAACTCAGTGAGTTACATTAATACTGTCTTGATGTTCTCATCTCCTGTGATTTACTCTGAGTTCTTAAAATCACACAAAAACTCTTCTCATTTTCCTCATATCTGGTCTCATTGTTGTGCTTATCGCTTTGTTTTTGGAAGGTCAGAACCAACCCTGTTGACCAACACTTATTTTTATTATTCTTAAATGTTTCACTAAAATCAGTTGCTTTGGTCTGATAAGCCAAACACATGTAATCTAATTATTAAAAGCATTACTCAAGGCAAATGTTTAGAGAAATCTGAAATATTGTTAGTTCAAACAGTATATTTACCTACGATATATGTCAGGAGCTTTATTTATTTATTTATTTAACATTTTATTTAATGAAAGGAGTTCGTTCTTTATCCCAATGTTTAATTCATAGCAACAGCTTTAAATATTTATGAAGTTTCCTGTAGTTTTTTGTTTAGTTAATAGACTAGATGGTTCAGTTCCTTGGCTAAGAGAAGGCAGTGCAATTTCAGGAAAAGAAAAGCTCTTACCTTTTAAAAAATGTGCATAAAGGGTGAAATAAAATTTTTCAAAATGCATGAGGTCATTGGTTCCACATGCTACCACAAATTAATCAGGTAACTCTCTTAGACTGCACCCCTTGTTTGCAGGTCTTGTACCAAGGGACCCTTAAGCACTTCATCAGTAATGATGGATTTGACTTTTTACTCATCAAGTCACTTGTAAAGCAAGAGAATCTATTCTCACCTGCTAGCTTTCAACAGATGACTTTTTCTGCTTGTCTGCTAGAAAATTCATTCTTACCTAAGATTTTTCCATGTGTAAAATGTGATTTTATTATAATGTCTCTTTTTTATAATTTCCAAAAGATGACTTTTCCAGAAAAATGGCATTTTAGTAAAATACCAAGTTTGTGGTTTCCTTAAATATTAACTAACTTATTTTAATGGATAGCAAGAGCCATAATTTGACCTTTTCTTGACAATTCAGGATCGTAACCCTAAATATCTAATTTTGTGTTGTGAAGAAAATTTGTGTCTGCCATAGGTTTTCAGGTTTCTCACTCAACCCCCAAATGATCTTTTTTTTGTGATCCTTATTTTCTTTCAGATGTGTATCTTTTTCTAGCAAATTCTCAACTTGGGACTCTATTGTCTAGTTTTTTGTCCTTAAGTATACACAAAGCAGTGTTTCCAGATAACCAAAGGTGTTATAAAATATGAATCTACTTGCATTAAACATAAATTAAGGAATGCAACAACACCAAATAAAGATGTAAGAACTACAGTGTAGGCATAACCCAGTATATGGGTTTTACGATAGTTATTCCAACATTTCTGAATAAATTCTTAATGTTTTTAGTCTCCAAGGTAGGATAAAGAAGTGTTATTAAAATTCCATTGTATATGATAGACCCAGCAAATCAGAATCTTCGATAAATAATATCCTAACCTATGCTCTAGGACAAGGTCACAAAACTAAGATAGTAGCCTATCAAAGGTTAGTTTATTATGCAGATTATAAACTTAGAGGAAGTTTTGTTCTTACGTCTCTCTAGTAGAAATTAATTTATGTTTTATTACTTGAAATTCAACTTTAAAGCTCAACAGAGTCTTCACTTTAACTCTACAACCAGTCATTTTAAATCCTTTTCATCTGTTGAGATAAAGACTGTCACTTTTAAAAGATACTTTTGCTAAAAATAGTCTGATGGCATGGCTCATCTAAATCAAATCATACATACTCTTTTCACTTTTCCCACTCAGTGTAAAAACATATTCTTAAAAATACATCATAAAACCTGGAAATAACCCAGATGTCCCCCACTACAGGATTGCTTGAATAAATTATAAAACATCTTCCCAAAGGAGGACAGTTATCTATAAACACGAATGGGAAATATTCCTCTCTACACTATGGAGCAATCTCCAGAATATACCAGGAAGTCTAAAAATGATCAAAATGGAGAAAAATGAGTAGTGGGCTATCATTTATCTAATAACAGAAGGATAAACCATAAAGTGAAAATATAGAGAAGTTTATCTGGCAAGGAAGGAGGAAATAGAATAATTGCTAGACTTGCCATAGTGTGAGATTTGAGTTTTGGATCACCTAAATATTTTACATGCTTACAAAACAAAATTAAATATGAAAAATGCAATGCCTAAAAATTAAAAATGAAATGAAATAAAACAGCTCTACCAGGTATGCATTTGGTGGCTTAACTTTATGAAAATAACTATCATAGGCAAGCTAAAGCACAATCATTTTATTGTTACACACGTTTTGGGATATATCCCAAAAACAGAAACAACTAAAGAAAAGGAAACAACTTTATTTTCTGGGAATCACACTGTTGGTATTATGCTGGTGGTGTTATTCTGAGAATGCTGGGCATCAATGGAGTATAAAACAAATGAGTCATTATGTGATATTCTACTTATATTATCTGCTGTTTCCTGAGAACCAATATTCTCAGCAAAGAAAAAAGAAGATAAAAGTATACTCTATCCTCTGAAAAGGCTTTAAGCAATGACAAACCTAAAGGGAAGAACACTCCTAATATTCTCATCATAGTCTTAAAAGTACTTTTCCTTTTTTTTTCATTGATTAACTCTTTTTTTCTTATATCACTGCAGTTCTCATAGTTCTCCCACCACTGTATCACCTGTGAACAAGCACCATATTCCCTAGTGTTTATCTCTTCCCTGCTTTGCCCTCCTCTCCCATGCATTTTTCAAAATGCATGAGGTCATTGGTTCCACGTGCTACCACAAATTAATCAGGTAACTCTCTCAGACTGCACCCCTTGTTTGCAGGTCTTGTACCAGGGGACCCTTAAGCACTTCATCAGTAATGATGGACTTGACTTTGCTGTGTGCCTCCGTTCTATGGTCAGCTTCTAGTTTTGACTTTTTCTTGACCTTTTGTTTGGTTTCTCTATATTCCACAAAAGTGAGACAATCTGGTATTTATGTTTTTCCTTCTGACTAATTTTGGCTAGCATAATCCCTTCCAGCTCCATCCATGTAGCTGCAAATGCACGAGTTTGTCTTTTTTTTTTTTTTTTTTTTTGATCACTGAGTAATATTTCGTTGTATAAATATACCACAACTCTTTGATCCATTTGCCAATTTTGGGTCATTTGGATTGTTTCCATTTCTTGCTATTGTAAATAGGAGTACAGATTTCCTTTCAAATTAGTGTTTTTCTGTCCTCTGGGTAGATTCTGAGGAGTGGAATCACTGGATCATATGGAAAATCCATTTTTAGTGTTCTGAGGAAACTCCACACAGCACTCCATAGTGGCTGGACCAATTTACATTACCACCAACAGTGTAAGAGTGTTCCTTTATCTCCACATCTTCTCCAGCATTTGTTTTCATTTTTGTTTTTGTTTTTAATGTGGGCCATTTTTACTGGAGTGAGGTGGTATCTCATTGTGGTTTTGACTTGCATTTCCCTGATAACTAGTGATATTGAATATTTTTCATATACCCATTGGCCATTTGCATTTGTTCTTTGGAGAAGTGAATTATTAGTTCTTTTGTCCATTTTTTTGACTGGGTCATTTGCTTTGTTTTTGCTGAATTGTGTAAGTTCTTTGTAGATCTTTGATATCAGCCCCTTATCTGCCATATGGTGTGCAAATATTTTCTTCCATTCAGTAGGATGTTTCTTTGTTTTGATTATTGTCTCTTTTGCTGTACAGAAGCTTTTTAGTTTGATGTAGCCCCAGCTGTTAATCTCCTTTGTTTTCCTTGCTTCTGAAAAAGAATACTCAAAGATATTTTTGAGGTTTACGTCATGGAGTGTTTTCCCCATGTTTTCTTCTATATATTTTATGCTATCAAGTCTTACATTCAAGTCTTTTATCCATTTTCTGTTCATTTTTATATCTAGTATGAGATAGTAGTCTAGTTTCATTTTTTTTTGCATGTTGCAATCCAGTTTTCCCAACACTATTTATTGAAGAGATTTTCCTTATTCCAGTGTATATTCTTTGCTCCTTTGTCATAGATTAGTTGACCATATGTGTCTGTTTTTGTTCCAATACCATACCATTTTCATTATAATGGCTTTGTAGTATTATTTGAAGTCTGGGAATGTAATGCCTCCATTCTTCCCTCTTTCAGTCAGGAGAATTTTCACTGTTCCAGGTTTTTTTTTTTTTTGTTTTTTGGTTCCACATGAATTTCATCAATATTTGTTCTATTCTTTTGAAGAATGTCATTGAGATTTTTTTTTTAAGATTTATTTATGTATTTATTTATTTATTTGTGTATTTATTTATACAAGCACTGGGTACAGTCAGAAGCGCAGGAGGGTGAGAGAATTCACTAGAGCCAGAGCGGGGAGCAGAACAGGCAGAAGGACCGAAGTACACTGCTGAGGGGAGCAGCAGGCGGCAGGAGAGGTCTGTGCGCCATGCGGGACCCTCCTCCAGGGCCGGGGAGCAACCGGGGATCAAACTGGCGCTGCAGAGGCTGCGAGCAGCTTTGCAACCCAGCGCTCAACCGCTGAGCCACCAGGGAGGCCCTCATTGAGATTTTTATTGGAATTGCATTGAATTTGTAAATTACTATTGGTAAGATGGCCATTTTTTATAATGTAAATTCTCCTGATCCATGTGCAGGAAATGTCTTTCCATTTCTTTGTGTCTTTTATTTTTTTAACAGCGTTTTATAGTTTCCCTTGTATAAGTCTTTCACTTCCTTTGTTAGGTTTAGTCCAGTATTTAATTTGGGGGCACACTATTGTAAATGAGATATTTTTTTTAATTTTGTGCTCTTGAGATTGATTGTTTGCATAGAGGAAGGCTACTGATTTTTGTGTATTAAATTTGTTACCTGCTACTTTATAAAACTGGTTTATTCTTTAAATTAGTTTTTTGGTGTATTTTATAGGATTCACTCTATATCATCATATCATCTGCATTTCACTTCTTTCCCTATTTGGATTCCTTTTATATCTTTCTCTTGCCTAATAGCCCTAGCTAGGACTTCTATTATTATATTGAAAAGTAATGGTAATAGTGGACAACCTTGTCTTGTTCTAGATCTTAATGGGAAGGGTTTCAATTTTTCTCTATTAAGGATGATATTAGCTGTGGTTTTGTCATATATGGCTTTTATTATGTTATGTCTCTTTTATCCTAAGTTTTTCAAGGACCTTTATCATAAATGGATGTTGGACTTTATCAAATGTTTTTTCAGTGTCTTTGAATATGAGCATATGGTTTTTATTTATTTATTTGTTTGTTTGTTTATTTGTTTGTTTTTGTTAATGTGGTCAATTACTTTCATGGATTTTCAGATGTTGAACCATCCTTGTGTCCCTGGGATAAATCCCACTTGATGGTGATGTATAATCTTTTTGATGAATTGTTAGATTCTGTTTGTTAAGAAATTATTGAAGATTTTTGCATCTGTGTTCAATAGGGAGATTAGTCTGTAGTTTTCTTATTTTGTGTTATCTTTGTTTGGTTGTGGTATTAGTGTAATGCTGGCCTCATAAAATGAATTTGGTAGTTATTCTTTTTTCTCAATTTTTTGAGAGAGTTTTTGTAGATAGGCATTAGTTCATCTCTGAACACTTTGTAGAACTCATTTGTGAAAACATCTGGTCCTGGGCTTTTGTTTTTTGGGAAGGTTTTGATTACTACCTCAATTTCACTGCTTGTAATTGGTTTAAGTTTTCCATTTCTTCTTTGTTCAGCTTTGAGTGATTATATAGATCTAAGAATTTATCCATCTCATCTAGATTGTTGAACTTGTTTGCATATAAATGTTCATAGTAATCTCTAATTATCCTCTGGATTTCCACTGTGTCTGTTGTCATCTCTCCTCTTTCATTTATAATCCTACTTATTTGGGCTTTCTCCCCTTTTTTGTGAGCATTGCTAGGGGTATGTCTATTTTATTTATTTTTTCAAGAATCAGTTTTTGGTTTCATTGATCTTTTGGTTTGTCTTTTTTATTTGTTTCATTTATTTCTGCTTTAATTTTTATTATTTCTTTTCTTCTACTGGCTTTTGGATTTTTTTTTTTTGTTCTTTTTCTAGTTCCTGAAAATGGGAGATTAGGTTATTTTCTTTGTGTTATTTCTTGATTCTAGATATAGGCCTGTGTTGCTATATACCACTTTTGCTGAGTCCCATCTGTTCTGGAAAGTTGTGTCATTTGTCTCAAGGTATTTTTAAGTTTCTTCTTTGATTTCCTCACTAACCTAATGGTTTCTCATAGCATGTTGTCCGGTTTCCATGTAATGGACAATAAAATATGGCCACTTCATGACTCTGTGTATCATCCTTGTGCAGGGGCCACATTAATCTTCTCTGTATTGTTTCAATTTTAGCGTATGTACTGCCAAAGCGAGCCCACAAAAGTATATTTCTATTAAATGGGACCAGAATTCCCTGAAGAATAATTTTATACTGTTGGGTTGTTGGAAAAGCCCTCACACATTTTTGCTTAAAAAACATAGAAAAAAATATGTCATGAATTATCTGACAACCCAACAGATCTGGGTCCAACAGATCCAGATAAGCACAAGGAACTTTCTAGGATCGGGTCACATATATATAAATCTATGAGTTAAGATACTATTTTGACAGAAATTTTACCAATTTTTTTTAAATAAAAGAGGAAGAAGAGTGAGAAGAGCGGAAGCAAAGGAACAGAGTGTGGGACTGAAAGAGTTTCATAGGTTATATCAACCAAATACATTGCCTGAACCTTATTTGGATGTTGATTCAAAGTGTAAAAAATAAAATCATGTGATGCAATTTTAATTTTAACACTGACTGGATATTTGTAATTAAGAATTACTGCTTTTTTTAAGTATGGTAAAAAATTATGGATTTATTTTTAATCACTCTATGTTTTAGAAATACACATTGAAATATTTATAGGTGACAAAATATAATTCAGAGATATGTTTTAAATTGATACCGAATAAAGAAACAGTTTGGGATATAAATAAGTTAGAATTAATTGTTATAAGTTAATGAATGTTTCAGGCGAGGTAATGAGTATTGAGTTCATATACTATTGTTTAAACTTCTGTACATGTGAAATTCTACTAAATAAAAAATGAATGTAGTTTTATCTATCATATATATGATAGATAGTAGCAATGAGAACACTCAGTACATAAAGATTTGTTTCTAAATATAGTCTGCTACTAATAGGAACCAGGGCTCCTTGAAGAACTAGATTCCTTCAAAGTTTTAGGGGAGGAAAGTACAGGGTGAGCCTGGAACATCTTGTGTTAGAAGGCAAAGAAGTAAAAGAATAAGGAGAAAGCATGTTACAAGGACATATAAAATAGCTTATAGGGCTCCCATTGGTTAAATTTTAGTAAAATCTAATGTCAAAGAAAAAATGATTTATAAATATTGGAGGAATAAAAAGTAAGCCAGCAGTTCACAGAACTATTCAAAACCAAAAAAAAAAAAGAAAACAGAAAGAAAGCAACTGGTACAGAAGACTGCCAGTAAATCAGCATAGAAGGAATTCCAGAACCAGAAAATCACCATTTTGCAAACATCTGGTTATTTTTTTTGGGCAAAGATTACAAATATAGGGTGAAATCACTGGTTGATAGATTTATTGTTAAAGACAAATAGGGTAGTCAGTCTCTTGGAGCACAGATCAGTAATTAATTGCTCACAAAAAAAGATCTCTTTACAATGGCAATTTACTGAACATCTATCTTCACCAAATCATCAAACTTCTATCACCTATGGAGAGATCATGTGATGTCATTGCCTTTTTCTGATATTGCAACTGGAGGCATATTTGCCTGTCATCCATTTGACTAGAAATGTTTGACTTGAATCCAGTCATGAAGCAATCAAGAATCTGATTTGGACTCTTCAAAAATATTAAAGAAGAAGCAGGATCTTATCTAGATTCAAGGAAACCAAACAGACATTACCCTTGTTTGAATCCCAGATGAGGATGGAGAAGGAAGAAGCTACAACAGGACAATATTTTAATGACTGAGCACATTTTAATATGACTGTATAGTAAATGTAATTTTGTTTTAGTGTTCACATTTTTTAAGTATTATATCTGCTTTGTTTTATATGTCCTTGTTGAGATAGAAAGTGAGTGCATATCTGATAGTAGAACATACATACACAGATAGATGTGGAAAGAGAAAAATGATTATAAAATGCTAACTGTTGACTAGATCTACATAAAATCTTTGTTATTTACATGGGTATTTGTTATTCTACTCATTCAACTTCTCTATGGATCTGAAATTCTCAAAATAAGAAGCTAATGAACAATAAATTCTTTGAACAATATACTGTTATGCTTAGTGACATCTGAATATCTTACTACGTACAGATAATGGAGTATCATTGCCTTTGTTCCGATGACTCTTATCCTTGGAGTTCTCTTTTTGATTCCATGCTTGCTCTGCAAATGACACCTCTAGGTTCACATCTGTTTCATAGACAGGTGACTTCTCAGGTACTGGTGTACTGAGATACTTTTCACCAACTAGGCTAGGTGCCTGGCCTGGAAGAAAAAAACAAGAGCTCCAATTCATATGCTCTGTTTATATCTTTTGTTTTAAATTCTAATATATCAACTCTATTAAAATCTTTGTGAAAAGCACTATTTACTATAAACAATAATTAAAGTTTATTTTACTGGGGCCTCCCTGGTGGCACAAGGGTTAAAGACACAGCGCTATCAAGCTATTGCCAGCCACTGCAACATGAGTTCCATCCCCAGCCAGGGAGCTAAACCACAACGTGCATCTTGTCTTACCTGCTGCTCCCCTCAGCAGTGTATTTCAGTGTATTTCAGTGTACTGCCTGTTCTGCTCCCCACTCTGTCTCTGGAGAATCCTCTCACCCCCCGAACCTTTGGCCTGCACCCCAACTCTTGTATGCATAAATAAATAAATCCTTAAAAAAATAAAATAAAGATTATTTTACTAGTGAAAAGTACACTCCACAAATCCCATAATGATGCGTGGGTGGGGAGAGGATGTGGTGACTACCAAGCCTAAGTTCAGTTGTGAATCCTTCTCTGGGGTCACAGTTCTTAGACTGGGTCCAACTTCAAAACATTGGTAGATGACCTCAAAGTCTGAGTAAAAATTAAAAATCTCATAAAAATTTATAGAATTAATTATTGATTTATTTTACATTAGGGATTAAAAGCAAAAAAAGCAAGGAGATTAGTGGTGATCTCTCTTAGAACCAGAGATGAGGACCAGATTCCTGGAGTAAACTCTTCCACACCCTGCATTTCCTTTCTGAATGTTGCCCATCTATCACAGGAAAAATTCCAAAACAAGAGTTAGTGCCAAAACCTGATCACTGTGGGAGTTAGGTGTAGATGTACCTGGTACAGGAATCAGTAATTTTGAACCTGATTATGAAAGTTCTCACTTTCATAAACCTTTTTTTCAGATACTTACATCAACATTTCCAGGATATATTTTGCTTAACTTTGGGGGTTTTTGTTTGTTTTTTTTTATTTTTTTTTTGGGGGGGGGGTGGTGATCTGTTTGTTGTTAGTCCCCCAGGAAAGAAATAACATGCAAAAACCTCTCTGAAAACACCAGCTTTAAAATTGGAAGAAAGTATTTTCAAATATTATTATTTGGTAAGTTTTGGGTTCTAACTCTAACATTAAGAAAACCACGGAGCCAATGACAGGATTACTTATATTTATTCACTGCAAGCCTTTAATTCATGGTGAGTAGCTATGAATTGAAATAAGCTTACATGGTGTACCTATATGCTTACATAATAACAATTTGACAGGAAAGAAAGGTAACTAATTTTTTTAAAGGTATGTACTGTGTACATATTATTAAAACTGCTGCCTTCCCCCCAAAAATGCATATACTCATTTATATTAAAAAAAAGTTTTACCCCCAAAAAATTCTTAAGTAAATATAAATCTAGTCTTATTCATTCCTGTTTAGTAAACAGGGTGAGTTTTGTACACAGGCAACCTGTGCAGTCACACCAAGATTCCATGCTCAGAAGGTCCCCACGTTCGACTTAATGCTCTACTGCTGCAGAATTAAAATTTGAACACAAAGCCCTACATTTTCAGTTTGCACTGAGCCGTACAAATTATAAAGCTGATCCTCAGGGAATCTCACAGCTAAGTAAGTAAATAAAAATTTACCTATGTCAATGCTAAAAATAAGAATAATTTTGAAGCTCCCTGATAGTAGCTATCTGCAGTCAGTAATGCCATTTATGCTTTTCCAGCAGCCATGACAATTCTTTTTAATTAGAATAACTATGCTTTTTTACGATTAATTTTTAAAGCATTAACTTAAATGTCAAAGCACAATTTTCATTTTATTTTCCCACTCGTTTACAGTGTTGTATGTTTTACTGTGAATATGTTTGTTGGTTTCCTAGGAAACCATTCTAAGAAGGGCAAAATGATTAGCCATAGTCTCAAATTAGAAGCTACCTTTCCAGAATATATCTATTAAAAAGATTGTTTGCAGACAAGGATCTTAAAACTTGTCTCTTTTCTCCTAAACACCCCCATGCCTCAGTTATAATCAATACCAAATGTCCTGTGCTGAATTTGAAATGGAGTAGAGAAATTATAATGAAGCTAGAACACATTTAAAACAAGGCAAAAATGCTGAAGTATGATACTTGAGCATCTAAAGGTTCAAATGTTTAAACAAATGAAGGCAGATAGAATCAGATTCAGAGGTGATAGCAGGGTGTTGCTACAAAAAATGGATAGTTACTTGGCCAGTAAAAGTAGTGAATCAGTTATCTATTCTCAAAGAGAAAAAATTAATAGTAAATGCTAAGATAAAGTGCAAATAATAAATTATTTTCTCTTCTAGTTTTCAAGAGGACAATGGCGTTGGGTTATAAATATATTATCAAACTCTTGCAAGTTTTTCAGTCTACTCCAAATATTCTGAAGTGCCTTTGTTTTTTTTTAAATTTTCCTTTCTCCATGGAAACCCAAAGAAGATAAGAAAATGTATATATTAATGTGAAAATATTTTAAATTATATGAGCATTATTAGTAATTAATATTATTAATGTCTCTCAGACAGTGGTTCTTTCAAATTGTATGGAGTTGTACAATTTGGTGAAGAGTTGATCTGACATTCAGTAGATTAATTAATTTGAAATATGACAACACTTGCAACATTAACATTTTGTCACTTTTTCATTTAGAATAGTATCTTTCACTGAACTTACATAAAAATGTGGGTAAAATGTTTAAAATAGACTGTATCTTCCACCCCTGCAGATTTCAAGCAGAAAGCACTCCACTTCTGAACTGCACATAATGTTTTACATTCATTTCATTCTGAATCTCTGGAGGTTAGCCTAACACTGGTTAATTCACCGGCTTGCGGGAGAGCATGGCATTGGCCAGAGCAGGTGCAGTAGCAAATACTCAGTGACTTGGATGGCTTTACACACATTCTTATTATTTGGATTGGAGGCTCTATGCCCACTTCATAGAATACCAGCAAAAGCAGATGTATATCAGGCATTATGCTTGTCGCATTTTACTGGCCTGCTGCAAGCCAGGCTGGAAAGTACTCATATAACGAACTTGTCTTCCAGAACTTCCATTTATATAGCCTACATCATCATTTCTGGCAAAAGAGGAAAACAAGGAAGGACAATGTTTTCCCCAGTATTCATTTAGAACTCTCCAGTCACTCTTCCCCAAAGCATATTGATAGTGGCATAAAAGGTTCATCTGTCTCTCTTGATGACCCAGCACTCTAGCAAGCCAGTGCTGACTATTCCAGCTTGCTTGCCACTTCAGTGTTTGCTGGGACACAGACCTGGGGAAACACCCAGTAATTTCATTCTGATATAAAACATATAACTAAAGAAACCTCCACAGAATAGTAGAAAGGAGAAAGGAAGTGCTTTTACAGATAAAAATATAGAAGCACGCCTATATTTTAATTTTTAAAGGTACTTGCTATTTACAATGTTTTTCTCATAGTTATATGTTTTATATCAGAATGAAATTACTGGATGTTTCCCCAAGTCTATGTACCAGTAAACATTGATATGTTATACACACATACCCATAGATATATGTGTGCATGTGTATATGCACATATTAATATATAATGCAATATTACTATTAAAATTTTATATATATGTAAGTGTGTGTGTGTATTATAGGCAGTGTTGCAGGAGATAAGTTTTGAGAAAATGTATGGAAGGAAAAGTACAGATACTAGAAACTCAAAAATGTCTCACATCACTTTGGACCAATCCCTGATTTTTATAGGAATATTGGGTAGACTTTCCGGTCTTCCACAGTTTAATTATACTCTTCCCTCACTGTTTCCAATCCAAATACAACACTATTAATGGCATTAACACTGCAGGTAGAAGTCTTAAGAACATAAACAAGAGAAAAGGGCAAATTTCAAGTTGGAATCCACCAGCCACAGATCAGCTTTATTATAATGTGCTATGTAAGAACACGTTAAAGATTAAATTTTTCAAGTTATATAACCCTAATTTAGGAAATTTTCCCTTTTTGTAATCAAATGAAAGTTTTAAATTCTTTCTTGATAAGTACAAATTGAGCCTTCATATTTGCTTTCATACATGCCTTGAATTTATAACTCATCATTGTATTAAAATATATAGCAAAGGAAAAGCATAAAAAGGAAGTTATAATAAATTGCTAAAGGAATATTAACTTTTTTTTTTAAGTTTTCCTAAACTTTCTGGAAAGCAATCCACTTATGAATTAAGAACTTCAGATTTGAGAATGGGGCTCTATATTCACTGGCTCTACTTACTAGCAAAGCCCTACTAGCAATATATAAACCTCAGTTCTCTCATCTGTTAAACATGTTAAGAACAGCACTACCTACATAGAGTCACTGAGTATGTTTAATGAGGTAAACATTTCTACATAGGACCTGGGCACATGGTAATTGCAATGGAGAGAGACTGCAAAGAGATACACGGACATTTAAAAAAAAAATCCAAGTTCTATTATATGTTCTATTATATGTAATTTTCCACTTGAGCACCTTATATTAGTATTTTGAGAGAATTTGCTTATTTTAACAGAATTTGCTTGAGAATCAAAAATGAATGTTTTAAAAAGTTATATCTGTTTTTTATCCTAATAAGTGGGGAAATACAAGAGAAGAGACTCAACATACCATCTTTTTCTTGATATTTGTTTTCATGTGTTCTGACTGACTGCGATTCAGTGCCATCTGGAGCCTAAAGATAGAAAACAGGCCATTTAGTCATCTCCAACTTACAGCCAGAGAAACAGTATTGTAAATAATTCCATTGCTAACCTTTAGTGTACAAAAAATGTACTCAGAATGCTAACAATCACAGAAAGAAAAGAGCTATGGCTATTCTCATCAAGCTATCATCCAACAGATATTTAATTACCCACAACTTGCAGGACACAATACTAAACCCTGTGGGGAATATGAAAAACATTGAAAGTGTCTCTGCCATCAAGAATGCCACTGTATAGTGTAGGGAAAAGATAAAAACATATCAGAAAGCCAGTAATATCCATCAACAGAGGAGTGGATAAACAAAATCTAGCTTAGCCATACAATGGGAAATTATTGGGCAATAAAAAGAAATGAAGTGGTGACATGCTACAGCAGGGAGGAGCTTGAAGACCTTTTACTAAGTGAAAGGAACTAGTCATACAGGCTATTTCACTTAAGTGAAATATGCAGTTCAGGCAAGTCAGAGATAAAAAGAATGGTTAGGGAGAGGGAACTATGGGGAATGACCCCTAATGTGTGTGGGTTTTCTTTGGGGGATGATGAAAATGTGTTAAGATTGATCTTGATGATGATTCATAATCTGTAATATGTTATTATCTTTACTAACCACTGAATAGTAGACTTAAATGGGTGAGTTAGATGGTACGTGAACTGCTATTTCAAAAATATTGTTATAAAAGCAAAATTACAAGTTGACATGTAAAATAGAATTATTCAAATCTTTAAAAAGCTAATAATAAAGGTGAGATAAATAAAGGTGCTCCTTTTCAAGGGGTTGAAGCAATGATCTCAGTATAGCCCTGCAAGGGTTTATAGATGAGATAAAACATAGCGGGCTCCCTTCACCAGTAAGTACAGCCAGGCAGTACCTCCTCTTTTCCAAGTAGGCTTTAGAAGGAATTCAAAATCAGAAAGGGGAGTCTAAAGCAATGAGGCACAAAGGTCCTTTTGAATCCATTATTTTAAAACTAAAGCATTTTACTGGATTTTCGCCTCCATACAAACGAAGGTGGACTTTCTAATCCCCTGATCACATATTTCACCTCAAGCTATTGACCAAGAACTCTACTCTCCACTGGGTGCCTCAGAAAAATCTAGAAAAGCCCTGGGGCAGGTACATAGAGTCCATTAGTGTATCACTTAGAGACAAGACAGCAGAGAGTTCACCCCTGAACAAGATGGGTTAGCTGCGCAAGTACACTTAAACAAAGATTTTCTGGTAAACAGACAACAAACTTACAGTATCAATAAATACAGTACCATAAATGTATTTTTTCTTCCTTATGATTTTCTTAATAACAATTAAGAGTACAGTATGTAACACAGACAACACATAAAATACAGGTTATGTTATCAGTGAGACTTCCAGGCAACAGCAAGCTATTAGTAGCTAAGTTTGGGGGGTATCAACATTTGCATGCAGATTTTACACTCTATGGGGGTCAGCACCGCTAACTCCTACATTATTCAAGAATCAACTATATCGCAATGACCACCAAGTCACAGAAGTGGTATGAGGTGATGGCACTACTTCAGTCCCTTCAGGACAGAGCAATATTATTCTCCTTGCCCTGCCCACAATCCCACTAGTCCTCCATAGCACACTAAACGTGGTAAGTCTAATCTGATCTTACCTATGAGCACATATTTTGGAGGATGTGGTCAAAATTGTTTTCTGTAACAATTGAAGATGACAATGCAGATGGTATTCACATCTGTATTATATTACCTAGTGTCAGCAGGGACTTCATGGGGCAGCATTTAAAATGGATGAGCTGAATATGTACTTATTTGAGAACGGAAGAACTACAAGTGAAGATGGCTGGCCCCTCTTTGCTTGAGAGATGCAGATACATTTCTAATGTGCTGCAGTGTTTCAATTAAAGGCCTGCAGTGTAAGCAAGTTAACATTATTTTAATTTACTTGTGCTATTTCTCTACTAATGACTCCATCAGATGATACAATTCACCAATTACCTTGGACTCAAACCATGTGGTTTAGACATTACCAGGAATTTACTAAAAAATTGCTGCTTATAACACCGAGTAGCAACATCTTCTTGGAGGCTGGCAGGAATCCCACAGTATATATTTTGCAGAAACTCAGCTCTCTACCCCCTCTTCCTTTTAACTTCCTCTTAACTCCCTCAGGGAGGGTTCTTTAATTGAGAGGGAAATGTCATACTACTATATATTTTTACTATTCATATTTCCACAGCTGGAAACCTTGTCTAGTCCTTCAACTCCAGTGAAATGGAGTTGGATGGTTAGCAGTTTAACTGCTTCACTGCAGCAAGAGATATGCCTGGAGCAATCCAGTCACCCCCCAAACTCCTATAAAATGGACTGGATTTGATCCACAATTGACCATGCAAATAGAGTAGAAATCTGCAGCAGTGCAAGATTTTTTGGAAGAAGGAAATATCCACAAAAAGCAAAAAACCTCTACATGACAGAAAGATACCTTAAATAGAAGCCCTTTCATTCTCTCATTTCTTTTAAGGAATCTTAAACTTTTGATTGTCCTTTATAGCTAAATATCATCTTGTGGTTGAATTACTTACTATCAGAATCATGTATGGAAACCAAACTACAGTAGGATGCATAGGCATTAAAAGCACATACTTTATAGAGTCAGACAAATTCAGGGTTTCTATCTATGGGACATTGAGCAAGTTACTTAAAATCTATGAGCCTCAGCCTCAAATGGAAATGATAATGCCTCCATCACAGGACAGCTGTAAAGATTAAATGGAATAAGGCATGAAAAGCAGTTAGCACAGTAATAGTCAGTAGTGGTGACAGCAATTATTATTGTTATTATCAAGACAATCTTTGTTCAAGATTCCTTTTCTTTGTTCTCATTCCACCCACCCACTGGGTCTCCTAGGCCAGAGTTATTCAAAGTATATCTGACAACAAGCCACATTGTAAATCAACTTTGATCCTAAGAATGCTTTTTTTCTTTTTTTAAGTAGCAAGACTTCCTGATGACATCAATCTATACTTTGTGCAAACACCTTGTGTCCTCACGGACAAGCAATGAAGAGTTCACAAACTAGCTGTTTTGAGCAGCACTGTTCTAGGTTAAGTAGATCTCATACTGGTACCAGGTCTTCCTTGATATCTCTATCAGTCCCCCAGCCTCTACTGTACTCCAACTGCTTCTGCTAATAATACATTAATCATCATGACAAATATTTATTGAAGTCTTCTATGTACAAGGCACCCTGTATGCAAAGAGGAATTATTTCAGGGTTCCTACTTTATATATCAGCCACAACCAGCTCCCTCACATTTCACTTGCACTGATCCACAAATGAGTCTAGAAAAAAGCAAACATTGCTACAATGGTTCACAGATAAAGAGAAATGCTCTACCTCTGCTTCTCTGTAAGTGACACTTGGCAGTTGTGTCCTCTGGGAGGTTAGGGTCACTTTTAATGCCCAACCCTCATCTCAAGTATTACTGTACTGAATTTCAACCTGTGTAATTTGCTTTGCCCCATCAACATATATTCTAGAACAGCCATTAAGTCCTTCTTGATTGTGGCCAGCATGGAGATTTAGTGCTTGACATATAAGTGCCCACAGATTTTCAGTCATTTGAATTAAGTTGGATTAGTCCAGCTGATTCTTAGGAATTATTTCTTTGCTTTAACATCAAAAAAGAAAACCTCAAAATCACAGACAGTGTTGTAAACCAATGCTATCTCAATTTAAAAAAAAAAGTTAAAAAAAAAAAGTTAAAAAAAATAAAAAAAAAAAGTTACTGGAAAAAAAGAAAACCTACTTTTTTACTTGACTCTGTCTGTTGAGCAAATATATCTCTGACATCAGGAATCTGATACTGTTTGTTTTTTTTCCTCATGGTCTGGGAGACAGTTTCTATTCGTTTCCGAACAGCTGCTTCCTGGGTCCTGGTCAGCGTGGAAAAAAGCATTATGGTTTCTTGGGGATCTCCAGGAGATTCTCCAACAAGACTGGAGAAACCAGCCTCCTTAAGCCATTCTTTTTCCAATTCACCCTCTAAGACAGTAGAGAAAAAATATTATTTCAGTTACAAAATACGAGAACATTTATATTTTTTAAGCTGCTCCAAAATTCTCACTGAAACTCTTCTATTGCTACCAAACCACAGTGCTGAGAAGCTTGGACAAGTGCCATAAACTCCAGCCACAAAGATATCAAATTTTAGATCCATTTCACATATACCAATTAAAAATTTTAAATGACTCCACATGAAATTAACCTCTACAACTTTCCAATAGATTAACTAGAGGAAGATAATACTGTTCCCTTTTCAGAGATGAGCAAGCAATGAAAAGATAACTTTGTTCCATCAAGTTACAGAAGGAAGTCAATGCTGGGGATATCGATGCAAGCCGTTTCTTGGCTCAAATTCAGCACTACCCCAGAGTTCCACACTAATTGATGGAAAGACATATTTTCTCTGTTCACTATTGCTGACGTGGAGTGTAACAAAGAATAAAGAGCATCTGGACATCAGGAACTAATCAATTTCAAATTAATTTTTAATTCTCCTAGTCAGCGTATCAGTTGTGTTTACAAATTTAAAAAAATACATTTAGCAAAAAAAATAACTTAATATAGGAACCTAATTAAATAACTGAATCAGTTCAAAATACTAACAGCAGGAAACAGTAAAGCAAATACTGTATGAGAGCCAATGAAATTATTGAAAAGCATGAAGATAATGAAGATATGATCACTCCAAACTCCAAGTATATGGAGGAAAGTGGAAGACCAAAGACTTGGGACACAAAAGACCTGTGTCCATACCCCATATCTTTACCTTAATAGCCCTGTTGCTTAGCCTCAAGTCAACTCTGCTCATCTAGAAACTAAAGCATAGCTCTTCTGGCAGCTCATAACTAAATGTTATATGGAAAGAGCTTTGCTGATCTCGATTGGAGCCTATGTCACATGATACAGCACTGACCCTTTGCCTGTCTATCTTTGTAGACTATATAAACTCCTTGGGGGCGGAAATTAATTACCTTGGCTTCAGGAAGTATAATAGTACCAGGCATTCTGCATGCCAAGCAACACAAAATGTTTACTGACATGAAAAGTCAGCCATCATTATTAGAAGCTGTTAAGGTAGAACTCAATATAAAGTAGAACTCAGAACTTTGATACATAAAACCTAATCACCAGGAAAAAGCTGACACTGTCATGAGGAAAGCAAACAAGACTGCATTATGGAATCACATGTTCCATTGAGAAGCAGTTAAACTCAAACAATTTAAAGTGAAAGAAAAGATATGGGCAAGTAGAAACATTGCTAGTTCTTGATAATCACATTTATGAACTATAATCTATGCATTCATTTTAATCTTGGAGAATTATAAAATTGCTAATGACATGGCTATGTATGAGGCTTGAATGTCATTTCCTATAAAATACTTTCTCCTTATTCAGCAAACTGCCAGAATACTGCTTCCATCTTAAAACACTGAGACACAAAGGTCAAGAAGATTATTAATTACCACAACCTAGTTCAACTTCGTTGGTAACACATTTGAGAAAGAGTGAGAGTAAAGTGGAAAAGAACACAAAAGAGCTGATTGTAATTTTCCTTAACAAGTTAAAGAAATGCTAAATTAAGAAAAATCACAGCTCTTTTTAAAGTATTATTGGTAGATTTTTCAAGAAATACATAGCAAGGGAGAAAACCTATATATGAAGACTTTGCTACTTAAACAACTCAATCCTATATCATTTAGTTGTGAGTTCTTTGTTGAAATGGAGGTCACTATTCATTGGGTCAGAAATGAATAGAATGTATGATACTTTTTTGACATTTATGTCAATGTACACATCAAATATATACAAACGTCTGAATGGCACAAGGTATAAAAAGCAAGCTAATATAATAGATCCCAGAATTGGGCATCAAAAACTTAGTGAAGATTTGAATTTAAGAGACTGAAAGAAACAGAATGAAATTTAAAAGGGGGTAGGGCATAGTTAAGTCTTTCATTTTTCTTTCAGAACATCAAGTTTAGTCATTGAGACACTAATATAGTGGAAAGAGGCTTGAGAGAAAATACAAACCAAATATAAGAAAGAAGCAAATACAAATATAAAAAAAGGTTATGACATCTTCCACTGTCCAAATCTATACCCTTAGATTAGCAGGCCAAACTCATGCATCCAATCTTAAGGACTGTGTTTTGAAAGATAAAATGACCAGGAATGGGATAGATTTGAAAACCACCCACAATGAAGGACAGAATCGTCCTTCTAGAAAGGACTTGGCTAGGAACTTTTAAAAATAGACTTATTCTGCTTTTTCAAAGGGCAAAATCCTAGCAAGGGAGTCAAAGGTAAATTATAGTAGATTTTATTTAAGATCATGATAACTCAACCTCACCGACAAATAGAAAATCAGTATCATTGCAAAGTAGCAAGTTTCCAATCAGCATCTAAACTCACTAGAAGCCAAATGACCATGGACTAGGATACCACAAAAGGAAGTTAAAAGTTTAGATGATTTCAAAGATCAAGTTTAACACATTTAACACTAAGAATCAATGATATAGCAAGGTTAGACCAAAGATTCTAGCCATATCTAAAACTGAGTGAACTTATTCATTCCATTCATATTTGGAAGTTGCATCCAAAAATTTGCAACAAACAAGTGATTTCCAAGGTGAAAGTCAACTTGCATTAGCCTTTTATCAGTTGTGTTATCTTTGTTTATTTACATAGTTTGTTCTCTTTCTTTCCATGCATTCATCTCTCATAAATAAATGCCTATACAAACAAACAAAAAGTTTCATTTATTTAATTATTACCATCAGGTTCTTTGACAATTACCACCTCTTGATCTTGTTTGTCTTCACTAGATATATTCATATCTTCCATTGCCATAAAGTAGTCCTCCATAGGCAATTCGTGCAAAGAATCCTGGGAACTTGATCGACCAAATGGGCATTTTTCCGTAACTTTGGTGACTTCCTGATTTATAGTATACTGGCCGTACCTGTGACTATAAATTGAAAAAAGTTATTCATTTATCACATGCGTAGGTGGTACAGTTTCTAAAATAGCATAACTCCCTAAGTTCTACTTAATAAAACCAAATGTATATCATGACACCTTACCTTGAAGTGCTACTGAAGTATTCTATACTTCTAGAATAAGAAATTTCATTTTTTACAGAAAAGTACAGTGAAGAACAAAAAACAATGTGATAAATCATTTTTCCATTCCCACTTAAATCATTTTGACTCCTTTAAACCTGAAACTTTGTCCTTACGAAGCAACAGGTTAAATTGTGATTACAGATGATTATTTTGGGGTTAAGTTTTACATAATATTTCATTACTTATCATTTTTATCTGTAAACTAAATTCATATACCAAATATCTACAATCAATGAATGAAGTACTAATTAAGATTCCATTTTAATTCTGAAACCAAAACATAACTTTAAAAAATGACATATTAAATTCTGTTATAGCCTATATTGAAAGCAACTTTTAATCTTTACTTACAAATATACCCATCAGTTATACATATTTTAAAACATTGTAAAAATTCATTTATTGGCAATTCTGGATATTTAGAAATAATCTCCTAAAAAGCTATGTAAATAGAATCTATTCTACCTGTTACTAAAACTGAATTAAAAGAGCTGACAACAAAACCCATATATAAAAATTTTTTACAATTGTTAACATTGAGATAGAAAGCGGAGAGCCTAATTATTAAAAAGGCAAACATTTTCAGTTATGATGCTTCCCATAATTGAGAATATCCAGTAACTATTAAAATATAACTTTAAGGGCCTCCCCTGGTGGCGCAGCGGTTGAGCCTTGGGTTGCGAGGCTGCCCGCTGCCTCTGCAGCACCAGTTCGATCGCGGCCACCAGCGAGGGTCCCACCAAAAAAAAATAAATAAATATATATATATATATATATATATATATAAAACTTTAAAATACAAAGGGTGGGGAAAATAATAGTTGGTGAATTAGTGTTTGTTATTTTAGTCAAATTTTTCCTTTATCTTCCAAGAGGACTTTCCAAGAATACTTTATGAAACTGGGTTTCTTAACTGAACATGTAGAAAATAAAAAGTAATGCAAAAAATTTTCTTTAGTAGTATGTGAACATTTTCACATATTGAACTTTCCCCATAATTATTTAAATTAATAGAGACTACATCAGGAAGGGGGGAGGTCACAAAACTCTGATAAAAACTATCCAACAGATTAATCCTAAGTAATTCGTAAGACTAACTAACGCTAAGAATTTAATTGGCTACTGCTACAAATAAATGCAGTAACTATAATAACCTAATAGGACAGCTTTCTGCTTTACCTTGATTAAGTTCTTTATTAATGCTGGTGACATAAATGAATGAACAATTGCTAATCTCTTTCAGGTAGTATCCTGGGGTGGTGATGGGGGAGTGTTCAGACTAGGGCCAACAGGAGGACGTTTAAACACGTGTTTGTGTAAATCTCTTACCTCTATTCTCTATCACCCATAATTTGCCTCCCACAACCCTTAATTCAGGGGTTACTTCCTCCCCCCGACCTCAAGCTTCTGGTCTATATTCCACTATCCCACCTCACTCTGGTCCCCTTTCTCTTGCCCCAGTGGCCACTATACAGTCAGATTTTTTTCTTGAAAATTTACAGTTGTTTCTTAAAATGTGAATTTAATTTTAGCTCTCTCTTAAAAATGAAAAGTTACATATATATATATATATATATACACAACTATATTGATTTTTAATTTCTATGAACATAACCATGGGTCATATTCCTTATTCCTGCTAAATGTATCTGCCAGATTCATCTTTGGTTCATTTCATGTCAGATATATAAATGCCCTATCTTACTTTTGTTTTAGTCCTCATTAGAATGTAAGATTGTCTACCTTAGTCCTATCTCCTACAATCCTTAGCCCCATGGAGACCACAATAAGTTGCTTGGAATGTGTGAAGTATAATGACTAATGCCAAACGATTTGGCTTATCTGCTCACCAGAAAGAGGTGCAGTTGAACTAACAGTACATTAAGTCTTTTACTCCCGAAGGAATGTGTTTATTCTGACAAGAATTTTCCAGTAAATTTCCATTAAGGTAGCATGTGCAGAAAAATGCAAAGGCACTGAGCAACAGCATTGTTACAGAAATACATCATCTATATCAAGCCTTGCTTTCAAAATCAAATAACTTAATGCTGATGAATTAACTCAATATTTTGACATGATTAAGGTTCAAAATTTGAATAGGTTTGTTGTGATAACCTACAGATACTGAGTCATAGAAAAGAGGATTTTTTTTTTAATTACTGGTAAGTGTTCCAAGAACACATTTTTTTTAAATATTAGAGAATGAAGAGTGAGAAAGAGGTAACTATTCCATAATTGACAACCCTCCTTAATCAGTCTGCCATATATTTAGTAATTTCTCTGAAAATTTAACAACCTTAATTATAGTTTAATCATAGTTTATATCAATAAACACATCATGTCACTAATTCTCTTCTTAGAATGTACTCGTTTTTCATGCTTTTATACTCCAGACTGACAATAGTTGAAAGTCTTGCCTATTTAGTCCTGGTAAGAGAACAGGTAATCTCACTTCTGGTTTTCAGGTGCATACTATGTTACCTTATTTATTCTGTAAATTAATACCTGCCAGGCATAACAAAATGTAAAACAGAACTATTTCACCAAAAGATCAAGTCAACACATAATGCTGAAATTAAAGCAAGTTTGTGCCACAACTCACTACCAACAACCCCCCAATTCCAACTTGGTGACAAATGACTGTTCTATGTTCTTTCCTCCTCACCACCCTCCAGAATCCTATGTGCTAAACACCCCACAGCCACTCTTCAAAAATCCCTGCTTTTCTCTCCATTTACAACTCTAATAACAGAAGTGAATGCTGTTCTCTGAAGGACACTGCTTCCTAGCTAACTGCACAGGTTATGCCCCTTCCAACACATCACAGAATTATCACTTAGCCTTTCTCTCGTGGGCACTAACATCACCAGCAAATACTCACTTTACAGAACCTTAGGGACTTTCATGGAATGTTCTTTCCTTTTTACCTTGCTAGCAGGCTCTTATGCTTTGTTTATAAAAATGGGGTGTTGTTGTCTTACACAGTTATGCATTGTTTAGCAATGGGGATACCCTATGAGAAGGTGTCACAAAGAGATTTGTTGTTGTGTGATCATCAGAGTAATTACACAAACCTCAATGGCATAGTGCACTACACACTACAAACCTGGCATCCATGGTGTAGCCTACGGGACCATCACTCAGTGACTCACAATTGTTTCCCCCAGATAGCATCTTATCCCATTTTACTATGACATTTTTCTACCTGGTTTGTGAATTTCAAATGTTGACATCAGGGAATTAATAATGCCTTTTTATAATTTATTTGTGATAGAGCATGTTAAACTAGTCTGACACCATTTGTTTTTCCCAAGGAAATAGGGATACCCTGCATTCTGCTGTGTTCTGCCAAGTTGACTGATGCTTCATTCAAGACCAATCCAGTGTGCAACACAACACAGAAACAGATGTACAGGGAGTCATATGTAAGTACCAAATTGTTCCAGGTCTACCTCACTTTCCTATGATTTTGGAAAATCACTTCTCTAATCCTCATTTTTCCTCTACATAAAATGGGAGGAATACCAGCCTTACCAGGAATACTAAGCCTTGAATGCTTTGCTGTGAGTTATCAAATAAGATTCTATACCAATCAACTTACAGGAAACCATGAAGAGGAAACTTGAGTTGGCATCATTGCTGACATGTCCATAATTGGTAACTATATAGACCTGCTCCTCCCATACTTTAATAAGGACTCCTATGCCCTCTTCTACAGCTCAGAGAAATTCTCTCTAAAACCGCCATTCTCAAACCTTTTGGTCTCAGGACTTTTTGATAAACTTAAAAAGTTTTCAAGGATCCCCAAAGAGCTTTTGTTTATATAAGCTATGTTTATAGATATATTATTGATGTGTACATTATTAGATATTAACTATTGATATGGACATCATTAGATATTAAAACTGAAAACATTAAAGATATTTCATTTCATAAGATTAAACATCTTAACATAAACATCCTTTTTGGAAAAATATGTGTTTCCCATATAGAAAAAAATTATTGAGATGAGCAGATTGTTTTATATTTTTTGAAACTCTCCTAAATGTCTGGCTTAACAGAAGCTACCTGGATTCTCACATCTGCTTCTGCAGTTGGTATTTTTTGATAGTGTAGCTCATGCAGTCTCTGGGAAACTCCACTGTATTCTAGTATGAGCAGGGGGAGAGTGAAAGGGATCGAAAAGGTCTTGGTGTTCTTATGAAAATAGTTTTGATCTCCTACACCCCTGAAAGGGTCTCAAGACCCCTAGGTGTTCTTGAACCATCCTCTGAAAATTATTGTTCTAGGATTTCTCAAAACAACACCTAATGGATTTGAAAAAGCACTTTTCAATTCTGTGGACAATACTCCAGAAAGCCTTACTAAAAGCAACAGACAAGCTTTCCTAGTGACTCTTGACTTACTTCTTTTGTTTATTTTAGTTTAGTTTTACAACCTTTCATCGAAACTGGGACTTATTCCAATGATACATCCATATTTAATTTACTGTTAATGACAAAGAATAAAAATGTCCCTAAAAACCCCTGATTTGCCAATGCCTTTGATCATTTGCTTTTATCCACCTTCTATAAGGGGCAGATTTATCTCTAAGCTTCCCCTTTTGGTCAGTTTATTTGAAAATATGTATCTTACTTTGTGTTCCGTTGCCATCTGTACCTCTTCCTACCACCATCTCAAGGCATATCCATTTGGAATTAGAATGTTTCTTTGAACTCATATATTTTTATCAGCTCCAGCTCTACTTTGTGTACTCTACTCATCAAGAGTCCTATTGTTACATTTTATATCCAATCTGTCTTCTAGCTCTGCCCCCTCCAAAGTCATTTTTGCTGCCCAAAGT